AAAAAAAAAAAAAAAAAATAGGAAATGAACTAATGCTCACAAATTTTCTATTTTGTGAATTAAGAAATTTTCTAGGGCGGTACCCATAAGTTCAGTGGGTAGATTGCCCACCACATACTCCAAGTCTGGTGGATTCGAACCCAGCCAGGACCAGCTAAAAAACAATAACAATTGCAACAACAACAACAACAAAAATAGCTGGGTGTTGTGGCAGGCACCTGTAGTCCCAGAACTTGGGAGGCTGAAATAAGAGAATCACTTAAGCCCAAGAGTTGGATGTTGCTGTGAGCTGTGACGCCACAACACTCTACCACGGGCGACATAGTAAGACTCTGTCTCAAAAAAAAGAAAAAAAAGAAAGAAATTTTCTAGGATTATTTTAGTATTTAAAGTCCATTTTGGGAGGCTGAGGCAGGGGAATCACCAAAGCCCAGGAGTTGGAGGTTGCTGTGAGCTGTGACTCCATAGCACTCTACCAAGGGCAATAAAGTGAGACTCTTGTCTCTTAAAAAAAAACCTAAAGTCCATTTTTACAAGTATTTTTTTCATATGCTGCTTCTTTAGGGATATTCTTGAGCTGTTCCTATCTTTACACCTAAATACTGCATCATCTACAGACCTGCCAGTCACTCATCATTCACTGAGGACTTTGGTATCTGATTCTCAGGGAAATCCTTCTGTGGATTCCACCATCTAATACCCTGCCTTCTCATTTCCACTGACTTTTCACATTTCTGCTGGTTATTTGCATTCCATTTCTGAAGTTCTTGGTCATTACTTAAAATGTGCCATTAATGAAATCACAAATTCCATCATCTGACTAAAACACCTATTTTTTGCAACTATTCCTAATTATTATGACTTCCACTTCAGTCCATAAAGGATGAACTGCCCTCCCTCCATAAAAAACTAATAAACAGGCTGGGCGCCCATAGGGTGGCAAGTTCGAATCCAGCCTGGGCCAGCTAAATAACAATGACAACTGCAACAAAAAATAGCTGGGCGTTGTGGCGGGCACCTGTAGTCCAAGCTACTTGAGAGGCTGAGGCAAGAGAATTGCTTAAGCTCGAGGTTGCTGTGAGCTGTGACATCACAGCACTCTACTGAGGGTAACATAGTAAAACTGTGTCCAAAAAAAATTTAATAAACAGGACAACATATACCCTATTAAATGTCTGTTTTCAGACACTGAACAAGAGGCAACCTAGGACCGCAATCCCTAAGAGGAATGATGAAGTGGGCCCTATAATTGCCCCACCTTACTGCTTTGGAGGCAATTTCCAGACTGTAGCATGGGAAGGGGAAATCCAAATGGAGCCCAAGGGTCTTGCTGAGTTCGGAACATAGAGAACAGACATGGAGAAGGAGGGCAGTTAGAATCTGCAGAACACAGTAACAGAGAGCAGGGATGTGCACCAGCAAGAGTTCCAGAGATCAATACTGGTCTGACAAAAGGCCACAGGGGTAGGGAATGAAATTACCAGAAAGTACGAAAACAATTCCTGGCATTCACAATGAGCTGAGAATAGTTTCTACCTCTGGCTAGTGGTATTCCAAAGATCTTACCATAAATAAATAAGGCAACAGGGAGGATCTTCAAAACAGCATCACCTTTCTGGTAGAGATAAGATAGAAAAAGGATGCTCTGGATGCACCCTAACAAAGCCCAAAGGAGGTCTTGAAAGAATCAATTAATTCCAAGAAATTTAAAGTCAACCCAAAATAAATGTCAAGAATATTTATAGAAATATAAAAAAATCAGCTTGGCACCTATAGCACAGTGGTTACGGCACCAGCCACATGCACAGAGGATGGCGAGTTCAAACCCAGCCCATGCTGAGGCAAGAGAATTGCTTATGCCCAAGAGTTTGAGGTTGCTGTGAGCTGTAATGCCCCAGCACTCTACCCAGGGCGACAGCTTGAGACTCTGTCTCAAAAAAGAAAGAAAAGAAAAAGAAATATAAAAAAAATGTAAAAACCTAAAACCGTAAGATTTATAATGTCTAGTATCTAATTAAAATTTCATACCAGGCATGAAAAGCAGGAAAATATAACCCATGATAAGGAAGGAAGAAAACAATAGAAACAAACCAAGATATAATAGAGATGATGGAATCAGAAGATAAAGGAATTAAAACAGGTATAACTCTATATGCTACAAGTTAAGTAGGAAACCATGAACGTGGTAAGGAAAGAAATGGAAGATATTAAAAAGACCCAAATGTAAATAACTTCCAGAGGCCAAAAACATTATATCCAAAATTAAAAGGGCCCCAAATGAGATTAATAGCACATTAGACATTTACAGGAAAAAAAAGATCAGTGAACTTTAAAATGTAGCAATGAAAACTATCTAAAAAGAAACACAGAAAGGGGGAAAAAACATTTAAATGGGCAGGGGGAAAAGGTAGGTACAATACTGCCTTATGGAACAAGAAAATATAGCTAATATACATATAAGTGGAGTCCCCAGAGAGTAGGAGGAAAGAGATAAATTTTTTTTTTTTTTTGCAATTTTTGGCCGGGGCTGGGCTTGAACCCACCACCTCTGGCATATGGGGTCAGTGCCCTACTCCTTTGAGTCACAGGCACCACCCATGAGATTAAAAAAATTTTGAAAAAATAATGGATGACAGTTTCCCAAGTCTGATGAAAATTATAAACCAACAAATCCAAGAGGCCCAACAAAGTCCAAGCAAAACAAAAACAAAAATAAAATGCAAAGAAAATCATCTATATCAAGTATATCATAATCATTTGTTGAAAAATAATAATAAAGTCCCAGAAGTGTCCAGAAAAAGGCATTATGTGAAGAGGAACAAAAATTAGTATTTTAGCAGTTTTCTTATTAGAGATATACAGGCCAGAAAACCAGACATCTTTTAAAGTATTGAGGGGAAAAAAAGATCACTAGCAAACCTTTACTATAAGAAATGTTGAAGGAAGTTCTTCAGGCAGGAAAAATAAATAACAAAAGTAGAAATCTGAATCTATATGACAGAATGAAGAACACCATAAATACTAAAAATGAAGATAAACCAAACATTTTAACATTTTTAAATCATTTAAAAGATACTTGAGGCCAGACACAGCGGCTCACCCCTGTAATCCTAGCACTCTGGGAGGCAGAGGCAGGTGGATTGCCTGAGCTCAGGAATTCAAGACCAGCCTAAGCCAGAGCGACACCACCTCTCTTAAAAAAAATGTTGGGCATTGTGGCAGGCGCCTGTAGTCCCAGGTACTTGGGAGGCTGAGACAAGAGAATCACTTAAGCACAAGAGTTTGAGGTTGCTATGAGCTGGGATGTCACAGCACTCTACGCTGAGGGCAACAAAATGAAACTGTCTCAAAAAAAAAATAAATAAATAAAATAAAAGACACTTGACGGTTCAAAGCAAAAATATGTACTGTAGGTTTTTAAACACATGTAGAAGTAAAGCGTATCACAAAAATAACACAAAGGATAGGGAAGGAAATGGAAATATACTCTTGTATGATTCTTACACTGTACATGAAGTATATTATTCATTTAAAGGTAGACTGTAACAAGATAAAGATGCATGTGTAAACCTAGAGGAATCACTAAATAAAATAGAAACAAAAAGGTACAGTAATAAATAAGGCAATAGGCTCGGCGCCTATAGCTCAACCGGCTAAGGCGCCAGCCACGTACACCTAAGGTGGCGGGTTCGAATCCCCAGCCCGAACCCGCCAAA